TTCTTGTTGATTTTTACGGCTGAGTAGTATTCCACACTTTTTCAATACATTCTTTTGTTCATGGACATTTGACTTGGTTCCATGTTGTAGCAATTGTGAATAATGTTGCAATAAACATAGATGTGCAAGAACTTTTATGACTAAGAATCCTTCTATCCTTTGGGTAGATACCAAGAAGTGGGACACCGGGTCCAGGACTTGAACCACAGTCGACTACATGGGAGTCCAGCGACCTAGCCATTACACCAACTGCTGGTCCCTAGAGAGATCTTCTAAACAAAATATAAACAGAGACATGCAGGACCTAAGCAATACTATAAATCAAAGGGACTTGACAGATATCTATAGAGCTTCCCACCCTAAATCCATAAAAAATACATTTTTCTCACCCCTGCATGGAACGTTTTCAAAGACTGACCACATGACAGGGCATAAATCAAGCCTTTACAGATTCAAAGACATAGAAACTACACCCAGCATCTTCTCTGACCATGATGGAATTAAACTTGATATTAATTTCAAGAAAAATCCTCAAAAATACACAAACACGTGGAAATTCAGCAACTTTTCAATGATTTTTTAAAAATTTGTTTATTTTACACTCATTCACTGAACATCACCACAGCTTGCAAAATGTGATTCCCCAGCCAGAGTACACTGTATAGCGGTTTAATCGTTCATGTTATTGTCAGCCAATAACTTCCCATTTCTAGTTTCATGTATATATTCCCCCATTTCTCACCCTCTGCCATTTTCCTCCCTCCTCCCACACTGTCTCTGGTATCTACAGTTGCTTTCCATTCCTTTTCTTTTCTGCACATTTTATTGATTCATGAAATATCTTAATTAATCTAACTACTTTTGATAGCAATTTCAGTTGATATATACATATTCTGTGAACACATGAAACTCTGTGAGTAGAATGAACATACTATAAAGTAACTGAGGTAATATAGCTTACTGTGGTCATTAAATAGGTACTTAAATATTTTTTTAATGTCAAGAAAGGCAGTTTTAGCTTTAATAAATCAAAATTTTAAAATGTTGAGAGAACTTTGAGACTTAAAGCCAGGAAACAGGTTGGGATTCTGTTCAAATAGTAGGCACATGGACCTGTCCACAACTCGAGAGAAGACAGAAATCCTTAACTCTGGGAAACAACGCATAGGAGAAGATCAGTAAAAGCCTACTTCCATCTGCAGGCCCTTGCCAAAATTGTGTGCCATGCAAGCAACTTTTGCGTTTTTCTTCTTTCACATTCTTTTTTTTCCCTCTTACATTGTCATCCTCTCCTCATCCTCCAACTCCCCCACCCCAGAGGGACTAGACAAGTCTAGAATCATAGCTTTAAAATATCTTAGCATCATGAAGCTTCCAGGGATCCTCGTTCTATTCTGAACCACCTGCAAAAAAAAGGAGAAACTGATCTTCAGAAACCTGAATAGAAAATACATCACTCAATAGCTAGAAGTTGCAGAAGAGCCTCAAGTTAAAAACAAACAAACAAAAACAAAAACAAACAAAAAATGCGTCTCCATCAAGAGAATACAGTAACAATTCGCCTTCTCTTCATAAAACAGTAGAAGTTACCAAAATGTCAGAGAAAGAATTCCCAACACTCATAGTGACAAAACTCTATGAGTTGGAACAGAAAAGAGACAATGAACTCCAGGAGATGAGGAAGTCTTTCCATGATTTGGAAGAAGACATGGACACCACAAGAAAGAGTCAAAAGGAACTGGTAGAGATGAAGGCTGTAATACAGGAAATCCAAACCTCTCTCCAAAGTATTAAAAGCCAATTAGACCATACCGACGACTGAATCTCAGACATAGAAGACAAATTACCTGACCTGGAAAAAAGCACCCAAAAGACAGAGAAAATAACAGGGGAAAAGATGAGGGTAATATACGTGAAATACTAGATTCCACAAAACGCCCAAACATCCGAATACTTGGTATTCCAAAAGGTGAAACTAATGAAGGCATTGAAAATCTATTCCATGAAATCCTGGAAGAAAACTTTCCAAGTCTAGAGAAGCACTCAAACATCCAGAACTCCAAAAAATACCAAGAACCACAAAGAGAATCAAACCAAGAAGATCCTCTCCATGGCACATCTTAGCCAAACTGGCAAAACCACAGAAAAAGACGAGACGCTAAAACTGGCAAGAGAGAGACCTCAAGTGATTCACAAGGTCATCCCATCAGGCTAACACGCGCACACACGCACACACACACACACACACACACACACACACACACACCAAAACAAAACAAAACACAAACAATAAAAGATCTGTCTAAAGGACATAACGGGTGTTGAGGAACCCAACAATTACAGTGTCGCACCCTCTCTCTCCTTCCGGCTCTAGCAGTCTTTCCTTCATGTGTTTAGGAGCTCCTAGGCTGGGTGCACAGATATTTGTAAGCTATGTCTTCTTGATGAATCCGCCCCTTACTACTGTATAATGCCCGCTCTGTCTTTACTTACAGCTTTTGTCTTAAAGCCTATTTCGTCTGCAATCAGGACCATGACTCCAGTCCCTTTTTGACTTCCATTTGCTTGAAATATTTTTTCCAGCCCTTCACTTTTAGTCTATGTATGTCTTTATCCATAAAAAGGAGAAGGGATTGTGGCGTGACCATCCCCCCTGGGGGGTGATTTCTCGTGTTCTGTCTCTATGTCTCTCTCTGTCTGTCTGGCGAGCGCATGCGCCCTACAGTGAAAAATCTCTCAAAAAAAACCCAAAAAAAACCCAAAAAAAACTTAAATCCAGGAAACAGTTTGGGATTTTGTTCAAATAGTAGGTACATGAACCTGTTGGCAGCTTAGGACAGGGCAAAAGTCCTTAAAACCGGAAAACAAAGCCTAGAAGAAAATCAGCAGTGTTATAGTCAGAAGTCATAAAATTCTATTTCACCAGTTCAGTCTCATGTACTTAATCTCTCTTCTGTTGTGGTTTATTCTTCCCAGTTAAATTCTGGGGTATAATAATCAACTCCAGACTTGTCCTTATGGTTAAGTTGACCATTTTCCTAGTTTTTGAACTCTTATTTCTGTCTGTCTGTATTTGATTTTCCTAGTATAGCACTTCCTTCAGAAATTCTTGGAGATTTGATCTGGTGTTGGTAAATTCTTTCAGGTTTTGTTTATCTGAGAATGCTCTTGTCTTTTCTTCCCATTTGAAGGATAATCTTGCCAGGTACAGAATTCTTGATTGAAATTGCTTTTCCCTTAACACATTGAATATATTTTCCCATTCTTTCCTTGCTCGCATTGTTTCTGATGAGAGGTCCGCTGTTAGCCTGATGGGATATCCTTTCTAGGTAACCTGATGCTTCTCTCTTGCCAATCTTAGTATCTTGCCTGTGGTTTTGGTCATTTGGGCTACAATCTTAAAGATCTTTTGGGGTTGATTCTATGTGGGGTCCTCTGTATTTATTGGATCTGGATAGTTAAATGCCTCTCTAGGTTTTTTTCTTCCAGGATTTCATGGAATAAATTATCAACGCCCTTATTAGTCTCTTCCCCTTTTGGGATACCAATTATCCCAATGTTTGGGTCCTCGATGGTATCTAGTATTTCTTGTAGATTATCCTCATTTTGCTTGGTTGTTTTCTCAGTCTTTTTGATAATTTTTTCTAAGTCAAAGGTTTAATCTGCTACATTCAATCTTCTGTGTGATCTAATTTGCTTTTAAGACTTTCGAGGGAGATTTTAATTTCCTGTATCACATTCTTCATTTCTAACAATTCTGTTTGATTCTTTTTTATGGTGTCTGTTTCTTCTTCCAGATTGTGAAAGGACTTCCTCATCTCCTGGAGCTCGGTGGCTCTTGTCTCTTGCATCTCATTTAGTTTGGTCACTACAAATATTCCGAATTGTATACCTGACATTTCCACAAGTTCCACTGTGCTGTCTGTGGGTGATGAGGACTTGATGTTATCCCTGAGGGAGAGGCGTTTCGCTGGTTGCTCGTATTTCTTGGGCCTCTTCAATGGTTTCTAGTCCTGTGATGATCTGCACACTGCTTCCTAAATTCTTCGAGGTATCTCCGAGAGTTCAGCAGCATGCGGGGGTAGGCAACTGGCGACCTCTCTTCTGCTCTGCCTCCCCGTTGCTCACCAGCACCCTGCACTGTTGTCACTGGTCCTGGATGACCCAAATTCCTCCCCGTTTCTAGAGAGCAGGTGTGCCAGGGACTGAGCCGCTGAGCTTCAATTCAGCAGCAAAGCGATGGCACAATGCACGGCGTGCACTTTAGGAGGAGCTGAAGTCCTGAGAGTCCTAAAGCCAGTGGGGGAAGCCAGGGGTCCCAGCTGTAAAGCCTTCCAGCTGCAGGCAACGTGCCATGCAGCAAGTCCCTTTGCTGGAATGGGTGTCCAGATGGGGCAGGGAGGGGTACAAGGTTGTCCCAAAGTCCCAGGCAACACCCTTGCGAGTCCAAAGGTGAGTGGGGAGGGGAGGAGTCACAGGTCCCAGACTTAAAGCCTTCCGGCTTCAGGGGCCTGCCATATGGCAAGGCCTTTTGCTGGAACGGGCACCTGGTGTGACTTTCAAGCTACTGGATCTGGGGCTTGAACCATTCTGTTGGACATGTGGGACCCAGAAGCCTTAACCACGACAACCCTGGCCGGCTCTGAATTTTCAGGTTTTTTTGGAGAGGTTTTTGCTGTAGGGCACGTGCACTTGCCAGAAAGACAGAGACAGAGAGACAGAAAGTAAGAGACCATCTTCTATGGGAGATGGCCACGCCACAATCCCTTCTCCTCCATTCTCCTCTCAGGATCTTGAGCACGCACGCCCATGCGCCCGGCATGAGTTTAAGCCACTGTGCCCGGGACTTGAACCTCCCCCTCGGCTACATGGGAGTCCAGCGACATAGCCGTTCTGCCGTCTGCTGGCCCCTGAATTTTCACTTTTACCCCATTCCAGCTGTAACCCGAGGAGCTGGATGTTGCTACCTGCTGTCACAGTAAACAACTGAGGCACAGACACCTCCCAGCTCTGCAGCTTTATTAAGAATTTGAAGGGGTGCCTGGCCGAGCACACTCGTCAGGAGCTCAAGAGCCACGTCCCCGGAGTTCCGGGCACTGGGTAGTGACGGCGAGGTGTCCAAGTGTGTGGCGAGTGTGCGAAGGGCTCCTAGGTGCCGGGTGCTCAGATCGGAGACCCGGACTGCCTGGGCGTCTACTCGGGGCTCTTGGACTTTCGAGGTGATCTGCAAGTATTTAGACCTGCCGTGGTCACTGCAGAGGTGTGGAGACGGTCTGGGAGGAGGGTGAGGGTCCATGGAGCCAGTTCTGCTGGGGCCCAGTCTTCGCTCAGTAGGGCTCTGCGTACTCTGAGTCTGGGCCAGACCTGGATCTGGCCGAGGTCTGGTGCACGGCGAGCGCTGTGTAGGTGCCGGGCTCAGCTGAGAGGTGCTTGGAATGCCACGCGGTGGGAGAGGGCCCTGTCTGCAAGGCCGCTGGGTGCTTCAACTGGGCGTACGTCACCTCCTGAGCTTCCTCAGCGGCAGGACCCTGAGAGGAGGAAGGTGGACACAATGGTGACTTTTTCTGTTTGAGGCAGGATCGGGGTGCTGGGGTTTCCAAGGCTGTGGTGGGGTTTGGGGGTTTGGACTCACCTCGCCATCTGTCACATGGTCTTCCCTGGGCTCTGTGCCCACAAGGGCGGCATCTGTAGGGCAGAAGGGAGAGGAAGGCCCCTGAGACACCCCTTCCACCCTCACGTCGTTGGGGAGACATCGGGCCCAGAAGCCGACAGTCTGCCTGGAGTTCTCAGAGCTTTCCCCACTAATGCAGAGAACTCCCCTGTCAACAGCCCCCACCCATGTGGACTCCCCCAGGGCTCTCCCCAACCTTACAGTCCCCAAACTCCCCAGAGGCCATCACTGAAGGTCAGGAGCCTCCCCAGCTCTGAGGAGCAGGAGGGGAGAGGTAGGGACGGCTGGTCAGCCTAGGGAAGGGGCAGGCTCAGTGTCCATCCTGGTCCTCAGCCAGAAGCCACAGGCCAGTGGGCAGGACAAGCAGACAGCTCACCCCTGCCTCCCCACTATGCTCACCTGCTGTGCTCCCGTCCCCAGACGTACGATTTCTGATGGAGCACCAGTGTTCGGTAAGGGCACCAAGGACAATGACCATGCACAGGAGGGCCACTGAGAGCCTGAGGAGGTTCTTCTTGCTGGAGGACCCTGGAGGGAGACGTGCTTCTGCCGAGAAGAAATTGGGCACAGCCCCGTTGGTGTCCACTTCGGGCCCGTCCACACACACCCATCACACCTTACCCCGGACTCTCCCAGCCCGGACTGTGGCCGGGGACGTTCCTCGTTTCCCGACCCGTGCGACAAATTGCAGGGGAAGCGACAACCTCATCCGAAGCAAAGAGACAGTGGAGACACACGGGGGTCTGAACCCAGGTCTACCCACCTCCAATGCAGTGGTTTTCCTGTGGCCCCACAAGAAAGGACGTTTGTTTTTGCATAAAGAGGAGAGTCCTTGTATCCACCCCGGCTGGCCACTGTCTCCTGAGGTTTCTCCTCAGCCCCCGACAACTGCACCGAGCACAGATGAGACTGCCGAGGCCGGGGTGCCTCTGGTGCTGCCCGCTGAGATTCCGAACCTGCTCGGAAGCTGCCGTGCCCCCTCCCAAGATGCCCAGGCGTGGGGGTGGCAGAGGACTCAGGGAGAGGGAGCGCGGGCGAGGGGCACGTCCCACACTGAGCTCGTCCTGTCCCATCCCGTCCCGGGTGTGAGGACTTCGTGTCCACGGCACGTCTCAGCCTCGTGTCCCCACCTGGGCTCTCTGCAGCAGTCTCGTCCCTGACAGCCCAGGTCTGAGTTTCCAGGCACAGAGACAAGCGCAGGAAGAAGCTAGCCTGGCCTGGTTCCACGCGAAACAGCAAGGCAGGCTCTGAGCGCTCTGTCCTAGTGAGTCGCCCTCAGAGTAAGCCTGAGCCACTCCCCGCTTCTTCCTCAGCTCCCTCAGGCTGTGCCACCATGGCTTCTCTCCGTCAGGGTCATCCCAGCCTCCACCCGACCGCCCCAGCCTCCTCCAGGGCTGCCCCAGCCTCCACCCGACCGCCCCAGCCTCCCCCCGGACCG